CTGAAAGACTTCGAGGGACAGCGTGGGCTTCAGCGTAGTAAGAGCTGGACGTTGACAGTTTATGAGAGTTGGCTGACAGTTTCTGATAGTTTTTGATAGTCTCTTTTCGTCTTTCCTGGTGACTGAAAGTCTTCTTTGGACAAGTGTTATCTGGGACTTTTCTGGAATTTTGGTCAAGTTCAATGATGCCTGGGTCAAAGAAGGGAGGAAGCGTTCTGGAAGCAAGCACGAAAGTGAATAAGGCTGAGTTGATTGTTAATTGTAATGATATGTATGATGCTCAGCATCATGAGTCTGTCGTTCATGTTTCCCAGTCTACGGATATTAGGCCCAAATTTGAACCTCGGTGTTTCGACGGAAACCCAGCTGACTATGTACAGTTTGTAAAGGAGTTTGAAATAATGTTGAGTAGTTTTTTGTTAAATGACGAAATGAAGTTGATGTATTTGATGAGGTACTGCACTGGAGTTGCTTCAAGAGCTATACAGTGCTGTAAGTTCATGGCCCCTAACTAAGGATACTGTGATACTTTGAGTATACTGCGTCAAAGATTCGGAAGACCTTCGATGATTGTAAAGAACGTATTCGAGGCTGTTAAGGGTAGTGGTCTTCAATTACAAGATGAGTCCAAGGGACTCTCTGAGTTTTTGGATAATCTGATGACTTTCAAGAATACGTTGATTTCGATGAATTGCATGAGTGATCTGAACTCAAGTTCCGTCCTAGAGGTAATAGCGAGACGCCTACCTACTCGACTGCAACGGAATTGTGTGAAGGTTAGCTCTCGTATAGAGGATGAAGGTATTGAGCCAAAGTTCGGTGATATTCTGGAACTGGTAAAAGATAGTGTCAATCAAGCTATGAGGAAGTTTGCCAGTATGTTGCATGCCACTCCTAGAATAGATCAGTCTGAGAGCAAAACGCGATCATTTATGACGAAAAGGTCTCAGAGAAGCGGATATCGAGAACGCTTTATGGTGTCTGGTAATCCGTATAAACTGAGTGAGTGTAACACCTTTCGTGAGACGTCCCTAACGGATAGGTTACAAGATGCGAGACAGACACGGTTGTGTTTCACACGTCTGCAGGAAGAGCACACATAAACGAACTGTGAATCAGTGAGCAAGTTTAATGATAAGCTAAATGTGAAATCAGCGTCATATAGTTCTGACTACGAATTGTGTGACGATAATGGTGCGGTGAAGAAGCCTGTAGTTGCAGCTGGTAAGCCATTGTTGAATAGAGTGTCACAGACGACACCGCAGTTTGTGTAGGAGAAGAGAGTTACAGTTTCAGAGTCCAGTTCTGACTCCACAAGTTTACAAGGTATTACTAGTCAGAGGTAAAGGTGCAAAACCTTTAAGAATTTGTGAGGAAGAACCCAAATTAGCTACTGCTGTTATGAAAGAGTTTGAAAATGATGAAGTTGATCATACAAACTGTGGTAAATCGGATATTTTAGACCGTGTTCATGATGGTGCACTTTTGTCTTTGGTTGATCATGATGAGATGAGTGGTGTATGCCTACTACTACTGAGTTGAATAGAAGTTCTGTACAACTTGAACGTGTAGTAGAATTAAGAGCAGATACAGTGGTAGAAGGTATGGATACTCATGAGACCGTCAGTGAAAATGATCAGTGTGTAGCCCACTTATCAACAGATGTTGACACTTAACTGGATCCAATAACAAAAGACAGCAGTGCTGGTAGACAACCTACTAAAAGCCGAACAACAACAGCTTCTGGTCCACCGCTATGTTCATCACCAGGTGTCGATCAGTCGTCGTTGGTGTTGTCATCCACAATGAAAAGGACGTCCATGAACTCACATAGCTTATGCTATGACTATGCTAATACAGGACCGTTTGAAAAGATGAAAGATATTGGTCAGTTTAATGAGGATAAGCCAACTGTGTATGAGTTTAATTGTTAAACTGACTTGCACGAATAAAGGCATTTCAAGTTAGTATTTGAATGTTTTTATCTTTGGTGTAAATTACTCTGCACCTACGCTTGGTTGGTCAGATACGTCGTGTGTTTGTTAGACATCTATATTCTACGATACAATGACATGGGCGTGTCACCGTTCAGAGTTGAGGATATAGATGATGGAAGGAGGTCACCAAATGAACTCTTCGACGACTTTCCAAACTAGGGCGTCAACCTGAGAAGGGTTGAAGGAGTACTGCTGTAAGTCCTACAATTCTTCAAAGGGAAGGGTATCGGTGAGCAGCCCAACGTGCTTAGAATGTTATTTTGTACATATGTTCATACTGTATATACTGAATAGCTTTCGTCTCTCATCTATCTGTTGGTAACTTTGTTTTTGTCCGGACTTATTTCAATTGTATCATCAACATGAGAAGGAATGTAGGCGTACTGGTGTAAGTCCTACAGGTCTTCAAAGGTAGTACTTCAAGGCAGAATGCACAACGATATCGTTGAACTTCGACACAAAATCGTCATACTTTATACTTCTTTGATTAAGTTACCCAATAATATTCTTTTTGTTAGTGGGTACACATGCATATCACATCTGTGAAATTTATACATATGTTAACTTGTCTCCTTAAGCTGAAAAGTGTAATATTTATGCGACTTTGATTACTATCATTTTAAAGCCCGCCTCAGTAAAGTGTTCTACGTATTAGCCGAAGCGTTTACGCAAAGTAAAATCTATCAATCACAATATGCCTACGTGGCCTTGAAGTGTTCAGCCTCTCCGTAAGGTCGTGTGTGCCTTTTTATCCATTGCAGTAACCTTTTCATCAATATAACGAATTTCTGAATTTTTTGATAATATATATTTACCCCATCATCTCATTGACTTGGATTTTTATTTGGATATTTGTAAAGTTAATGAGCTCTTCTTATAGTCCTCTACACAGCTATGTTTAAGAAAGAGGTGTATTCATTTCGACAGCATAACACAAGTCTATTATAAATGACTTAATTCTCAGAATCAAAGGAAAAGCTTATAGCAGTCTCAGAATCATCGGAAGAATATCAAGTTTCTGGACAAAAGGAACCCAAAATTTATACCAATTTTCCTAGGGGGTTTGGTGAGTATAACAATAATACCTCAATTTCCTACAGTTATACATTTACCTAGGGAAGTTCACGGTAATGTAATATGGTACAAATTTACTTCTCAAACATAAAAATCAATAAAATATTTCACTAGACTATTGAAATACAATACAATAAATAATTCCAAACCAACTGTCTTTCCCTCCTGGGTTCTCAATAGTTTTCTAACTGAAGTCAGATCACGGTAACTTTGAAAATAAATCAGATTTTGAAATAATAGAGAAGATTTGTAGCTCAGGTGGATGATTTGCAATGAATAGTGTTCTCTGAGCTGGTTGATTTAGTTGTGGAGCTTTCGTCGTCCTTCTTTCTGGACAACATCCCCGCAATTTTTAGCATAAAGTGAACCGATTTAAATTTTCCATGAGTGATAGAATCGCGTCTCCCTGCAACCATCTTTACATGTGTATTGACCATTTTCTATTGACTTGGGTTTTAAACTTTCTGGTCACATGATTTACTTTTTATTAGTTGGTATATTTTGTCTAAATTATCGTGTTTGTTAATTGCTGATTCGTTTGAGTACCAGGCTTCTAGGAATTCCATGACTGCACTTTTGGTGTTTCCTCTGTCTAAAATCTCGACATCATCCCAATCAAAATGATGCTTTGATATGAAAGAGTATATACCATGTCTTTTCACAGGTGATTTGTATTCCTGGATTTTGATTCAAAAGGGACGCCTGCACATCATCAATTGAAAACATATCAGAATCTCATCATGAGCTGACATCAGTTAGAGAACCATTGAAAAACCTGGGAGTACTGGACAGCTGTTTCTTCCTAGTTTGGGACTCTTCAGCAGTACACATCCACCGGGATTCGAACCCAACGCCAGTGAGCATCTCATTGGTATTTAAGTGTTGGATTTTAGGGCGACTGGCCCTATTCAGGTAGGTAGTTACCTTATATTCCAGTGGGAAGTCGTGACCAGTAGGGTGCAGCGGGTCGGGTGTGAGGACAAATACTCGCCGAAGACATTGGCTAGCGGTCACGCTATGTCGTCAATTGGCAGAAGTTGGAATTCAGGGACCATTGGATCGGGTCCCAGTGGCTTGATGGTATACCAGCTCGCCTTGTAACCGGAAGGTCCTGGGTTCGAATCCTGTCGGTGGGTGTGTACTGCCGAAGAGTCCCAAACTAGGACGAAACAGCTGTCCAGTACTCCCTGCAGGTTTTCCAATGGTTCTCTAAGTAATGTCAGCTCATGATGAAATCCTGAAATCAATCAGATCCCTACAAATCAACACCTAAATATCAGAATCTTAGTCCACTGATGATTTTATATCAGTAGCCTAAAAAGTAGTAGTAATAATAAGGTTAGTTATACAAAACCAATATCAAAATCGAGAGATATTCAAGTATTGTTTTGTAGGGATTTGGTTGATTGGTTACAGGATTTCATCATGAGCTGACATTGGTTAGAGAACCATTGGAAAACCAACCAGGGAATACTGGAGAGCCGTTTCGTCCTAGCTTGAGGGAATCTCATTTACTATCCTCACTCATTATTAACAATTTTTTCATATAAAACACGAAACTAATTGGGACTTAACTCAAATAATCAAAATAATACGTGATTGATTGTGCCGACAGCTTGAATTGGATTCTTCATGGCTTATCTATACAGTAAAGTAAAAAGTAAAAGAATATTTCTACTTTGCATATGATTTATTTGCATTTTACAGAAAATCCACTCAACTTCTGGAATTTTATTGTAAAAAAGAAAAAAGAGAACTGCAGAAGAGTGAGTGAGCTATATGTGTATATAATACAAACTAAACTGATTGATAAATGAAGCAGCCCCGAAAACAAGTAGATTAAGTTGAATCAAATAGAGAAGTTATAATGAAAAGGAAAGCAAATAATTGATTTTGTGTTAGAAAAAAGACTCCAATATCTTTACTTTTTTATAACTTCACTTGAAATAAATAAATAATGCAGTTCTTATCTGTTTGTTTTGACTCATACTGAGTAACTAATTCACATTCATGGTTCAATAATAATTCCCATAATTTAAGCTGTTGGTAAGATGACATCATAAACCAGCTTAGCTCAGAATAGTCTTCACATTCAACAATTTGAAAACAATTAGGCAGAATATTTGCAAAATGCGCGTTTAATTCATTAAAACATCTTAACAACTTTTGATTATTACACTTTGAGAGTATAATTTTACCTTGATGAGGTGGGGATATGTTTATTTCTAACATTATGCAAGAGTATTTCTTGTACATCAACCTGTTCTTTGATGGATCATCACCTTGAATTTCGTCATCATTTTGATAAAATGACGAATTGGCTGTCGAATAATCTCGAGAGTACGATATTCCCGTATCACCAATTTCACTTCTGTAACTGTATGATTCATTCAGGTGTGATTGATTTAGACTATCGATTTTCAATTGCTTTCTTGGTGTACATTGTGATTCTTTCTCATCTGCATGAATCTTCTGGTCTTTTTTTTCTTCTATAAATTGTTCAAACTGACTGACATCTCTTCTTTTTAGCCTACCTTTAATTTGTTTCAACTGACAAGTCATCTCATATAAGCCATAGAAGTTTGCTTCTTCAATTAACTGATCCATTTCTGTAAAATGGGGATCTAAGTTCACTTTATCAGTTCGTAAGAAGTTAAGCACATGTCTGAAAAGAGTTCCATCACGATCGATAAAATAGTGCTGTTTCATTGTATCTAAAACAATAGGAATTGTTCCATTGAACATTTTTCCCAACAGTGATTTTGGATACCTATTTCATTAGAAAAATACAACAAATTTTAGAAAGAGAATTTTGTAAATAACTTAGGATATATATCTCTTTGGGCAGTAAAATAAACAATTTCACTTTTATGATGCATTTATTATGAGAAGCAGTCGACAAATACACTTCAATCGGTAAATATATTTCAGCTCAGGATATTTAAATGAGATTAAAGTATTATCAATAGAACGAGATAAATTGGTAAGGAATTTTATTATTCAAATATTGTAGTTACGATTCACAGAGTCCTTTAAAAACTAAGCCCCTTATCAGAAGGCAATACTTCACACCAATTACTTCCATTCAGAGTTTGGTTTTAAGAATCCCAATTTGCATAGAATGAGAATAAATCATTCCATTCATAAGTCAAATAATTAAGTGTTTTCACATATTTTATTGTGCACCGGAGGCACAGAGGAACAATGCTCGCTAACCACGCTTGGAATGGTCCAAGGGTTTTATTCCCGGCCGTCGCACTCCTTTACCTCGCTAAGCCAGTAATAAGACTGGTAAAGAGGGAAGTTTGGACATGAGGCTAGTAAATCTATCACGTCAAAATAAGACCACTGCTAACGTAACATCAAGGCTCTAGCTTGAAGTCTTATGTTCCACTGAGAACGCAAAGGAACAAAAAACATATTATATAATCATTATTCCCTCGGGTTCCGAGTGGAACATAGAGCTGCAACAACATACCTCCTTTTTTGTCCAATTCTCTTCTGTCCTCTTTAACTGGACCCAAGATTCCTCATAATCTCGCAACTTCTCCATGTCACTTTTGAAATGATGACCCACTTGTCGCTTCTCATAGGGATTACACTTGAGGTATGGCCTGGTGCGTGATGTCATTCGACAGCCTCTTCAAAGTATATCCGATCCATCTCCATTTTATGCTACATATTTGTTGAGTGATCGACTGTTGGTTGGTTTGTTTCCCACCAGATTTCCTTGTTGCTAATCCTTTCTGGCAGTGTGGAGCTAGCGAGCATCATCCTGGAGAGAATCAAACAACCAGCCATGGATGGGAAACTTCGACCGGAACAGGCTGAATTCAGGAGAATCAAGTCATGCATATGTCAAATCGCAACACTACGGATCATCATTGAACAGAGCTTGGAATGGAAGTCACCTCTCTATCTCAACTTCATTGACTTTGAGAAGGCCTTCGACAGCGTCGACCGAGAGGTGATTTGGCAACTACTTCGCTACTGCGGGGTGCCACTGGCAATTATGCATCTCATTCAACAGTTGTACGACAATACTGCATGCTAATTAATCCACAACTGGAAACTCACGGAATCCTTCGGAGTGAAGATGGGAGAAAGACAAGCTGGCTGCCTACTATCACCAATGATTTTTTTGATTATGGTAGACCGGATAATGTAACACACCGCGGTGGCGAGGAAACAGACATTAAGTGGACCCACACAAAAAACTTGGATGATCTGAACTTCGCCGATGATATATATATATATGTCTCATTTCCCACAAACTGGTAGATATGCAAGTGCAAAGCAACAAGTTGGCAGAAGAAGCATCCAAAGAAGATAGGACTTCAGGTGAACATAGAGAAAACAGACGTGATGCATATTCCTGGCCAACAACAAGAACAGACACTATTCATCATAAATGGGAGAAATCTGAAAGAAGCAACCTCCTTTACCCACCTGGGAAGCATCATTTCAACTACAGGTGGACAGAATTGATGAGGATATCAAAGCGAGGATCGGGAAAGCAAGGTAAGCTTTCATTACTCTCAAGTCTGTGTGGAGGTCAACGGGACTCAGAGACTTGGTGGCACGTCATGAAGAGCACCTCAAACAAACTACGGACCTTCATCAACAGCTGTCTTCGCCTTATACTAGTCAAGATCAGATGGCTGGCCGGAAAAAATCAGCAACAGAGATCTCTGGCAATCAGCGAACCAACCCAGCAGGAACCGAATGTACAAAAAATGTGCAGGAAGAAATAGAGGTGGATTGGGTATACCCTGAGAACACAAACCATCAAGTGACACGGCACGTCAGGCCAACGCTCGAAGGGAACCCGAACGGAAAGCGGTGAGTTGGTCATCAGTGCAAGTGTGGGGTGATATGGAGGAGGTCATGTGAAGAGGAGATGAAAGCTTGTGGGCTGGCATGGAGCCAGGTGTAAACGTTGGCAGAAAAACGAACGCAATTGGTACGTGCTGATGAAGCTGTATGTTCCTCTAGGAATTATAGGGAACAATAATAATAATGGCACATGCGAAGGCAGCTGTTAATAAAAGTCTATAACTTGTTGGAAATTCTTTTTGTGACACGCTAAATCTCTGACCCGTAAAGAATGACTGACTTCACATTTGTGTTGAAAATCCGGATGGTGTTCTGAATGCTGTGGGGTTCTGAAGACTTCGAAACTGGTTTCAGGTTGATGACGAAATATCTTGCCTTTATAAATGTTTACAGATAAGTTACTTTGAGTCTCCTGTTTAACACACCTTCCTGTTCACTGATAAAAATGAAATTTAAGGATCATCGCCATTCAGTCAACTCAGAACGGTGGGGAAAGAAAAAATACCTAATAATGCGTGACAGCTTAACGGCTATATCATATATATATATATATATATATATGTATATATATGCACTTCATGATTAAAATTTTGAAATTATTATGTTATTCAGATACCGCTTACATATCGCCAGATTACCCCAAACAAGAAGTCTACAACACCCTACGTGACTGGCTTGAACTAACTGTTGTGGTTTCATTGACTGACGCCATGATTCGGTTTGGCTACCAGTCGCTCCTTTCCAACCTTATCCTACGTCAGCTAACATTTTATGCCGAGGAAGGTGATGGCTAGACATGCGTAACACATATCCTAACCATCTTAATCGATGTAACTTCTTAACTTCTTCGATCAATTTTTCCTCCCTACCCAGCAATCTACGCCTAACTTCAATATAACTCACCTTATCAAAACACTTAACAAGGGAGATAGAATGCACCTATGATCGAAGACAGCTAGCCTTTCCACGTGTTCCTCTTCTATGGCCATGTCTCACAGACAAAGAGTTAGACAGAGCGAACTGCTGAGCAGTGCGCACGTCCTTTAGTAGACAGCTAAATATCCCGTCTACACCAGAGATGACGTAAGTTGGCATATACCAAACGAGCCCTTCTTATCCATGCTGAGATTTCGTCAGCGATCAACCTGCTGGACCTGGCTGAATCAACTTCCCAAATAATTGAAGTGATCAACATGCTATACCACTTCACTGCTTATTTCTGAGCTAAGAGTCAATGTAGTCCAGTCCTGCAGCACCATCTTACATTTGGTGGGAGAGGATCGCATGCCAAACATTCTCAAGCTCAAGGTGTTCAGAAGACTCTACTGTATTTTGTCAGAGTATTCACCTAGGAGTGAGGACTATATCATCTGCATATTTCAAGTCAACGAGATTATACCCTGGTGGTAACAAGTCAATCTCTAAGTCGCTTAAGTAACTACATAACTACACACACACACACACACACACACACACACACACACACAAATTCAACTACACACAAGATTATAACGATATAAAAGAATTATGTCTAATCTTATAAGACCCTAAGACGATGAAGATGATGTTGCAACCAACCACCTCAAGGCATTACCCTTCATCATACATCCAATTAATCAGTCTATATCATTTAGAAGCACAATTTATTTCAGCATCTTTTAATAAGGTATTTCCCCTTCTGTTTAACATTTATATATATAGTAAACGTTTATTTCCCCCATTTTATGGAATTCCTCATATATATATATATATATATATATATATATATATATATATATATATATATATATATATATATATATATATATGCGCGCTCACTTTGATGAATATTTCGGACTATTGGAATTGAATTATTTTGCAAATGCGTGAAAATTCACCGTAATTTAACCTAAAGTTACTCGTTATATCTAAGCGCTTATCATTTGTAGCTGCTTTTTTACTTCCCTGCATTACACTAGTTAAGATTGCCTCAGGCTAGACATTTGATCAAAATCAGCCTTGAGCTATCTAACCTTTTTGATGAGAAATCCGACTGTTTGTGTGCGTGTATGTGTGCATAGTACTTTAGCATGTAAAACAGAAATTAGGCAAAAAAAAATAACAAACTTAATAACTTTTAGAATACAAGTTCATTTAAGCCGAAATAATAATATCATATTTTAAAGACAAGCTTTTTTGATGAAATATTTTTGTTTTCAAATATATCTGATTTAAGAGGAATACTTCTCTCAGAAATAATAAAAAGAAGAATTTTATTTATTTGTTTTAGTTTAGACACTTAGGTCTTATACCTTTCGGCAGATTAAAATGTAGACTTCACATGAGGTGACTACGGAACAAAAACCGTTAATTCCATATTAGTCTGTTTATTCGATGTATCACACAGTCACAGAAACAGTACAAGTATTTACTGGATGACAAAGTTTCGAACACAATTTATTACTGTTCATAATCATTTTATCAATTATATACCACACAACTTTGAAACTTGAGTTTTATAGTTTTCTTTTTCCGCTCCTATTTGTCACCGTTCCAGATATCTTGGTGCAGAGGAGTTGAATCACTCCTATTACACGTGTTTACAGTTGACTCGATCGATAAACAAAGCTTCCGCTGTCATCCTATCCCATCCTATTGTATGGTCGTGTGCAATTTCATGTAGTCAGTGCTATAGCTGAATTACTCTCTAGATTTCTTATCTTATTCGGGTCAACTGATCTAGATATTGCTACGTTTTATGCTCGGCTAGTCCGACTGACTGACCCCGTTCTACTACTTTGACTGGTGTATTTGACCTGACAATCATCTCAGGCAGGGTATTATATAGACTAAATTGTTTTGTTTTAAAGACTCCACAGGATTGATTCAATAGCGGACAAAGCTTGTTTCTAATTGAGTTTGTGGATGGTTTGAATACCAGCCACTTTTATTCCT